CAGGGGGGGGGGGGGGATGTGAGGTCAATGTCACTTCAAATTACGTGACCTAAATTGACCTGACCATTGATGGGCCAAGCTGCCTTTGACCTGACCTCACAAGCATCTGCCCCTTTTCAGGGTGACTGACAGCTGAAAGAATAAACCTGGTTATACACGCACATATTTTCTTCGTTCAACCTGAAGGCTGAATGAAGAAAATTGAACAGATTCCTCCTTCCTCACTGAACAGCGTGGATGGCTGAATCTTCTGTTGTGAGCACTGTATTCTGACAGCAGCCACTGCTGCAAGCACTGTTCGGCCGATGTTTTTGTCAACATGTTTCTTCGACACAAATCGATCTAATTATCTACTTCTTCCGATGGAATAGTGTACATGTGGAGTGATTTTCAGGCCAATTTGTGCTGAATAGGCCAAAATTCGCTCAGTGTGTGCCCTACTTAAAGGACTAGGCTGACCATCTGAGCAGTATCTACACTGAATGAACACACTTCGTCCCATTTTACACCTGTGCGTTCCGTGAACCCACGGCAAAACACGCACAAACGTACAACACATTCGTGGAAATGCGCACAAACGTGCAACACACTTGTGGTGCCATTCATTTTTTAATCGAATATGTTTTTTAATGAACATTTTTCAATACAAAAAAAGGTCAATGAGCAATGAAAACAAAGAATACGATGCACCGATCATTTCTGATAAGCTGATCTGATAAGCAAATATCAGTGTGATATTACCATAAAGGCACAATTAATAACATCAGTTAGTGGTGACATTCATTTTTAATGGCACCCCAACACTGCCAGCAAGATGGACGTTTTTGCTCCTCATTTGCACGCATGAAAACGCACACCAAATGTGGTAAATGCGTTTTTTGACGCGCTTGCTGTGCGTCTATCAACCCATTAAAATCAATGGGGACGCACGGCAAATGCGGCACGCAAATGATCGTGCGCGAAAGGGACGCGCGTTCTCGCGACATGCAGGTGTGAACCATGCCTTAGGAAAGCTATAGCATAGTTTTGTTTTTTTTTATCTGAAAGGCCACACATGTTATCCAGTTAATAAACTTAATACACTATAAAGGTCATTTCAACCATAGTGCCTGCAGTAGTTAACTACAACAGTTCATGAGTCATGGTGTGAGGTCAGATTTGCTTGCAGAAAGCTGAATGGATATAACAGGAGACACTATTTTGGTCAAAAATGAAATGATCAATTAAGCCAAAATTGTTGTATAAGTGGATGCCGAGAGTCAAAAGACCTGACAGTTTCTTATATCTCTTGGGGACTTGTGTAGTAAGATAACTGTGCTTGAGTTCCGGGGTCTATACACCTGCTGTGGCCGCTATAAGTGGGACCTTCAGTCCCTGCTTGATTTTTTTATTTTATCACATGGAAAATGCAGCACACATTACTGGAAGAACTAAACACTCAAAACTCCCAGGGGGACAAGAAAAGAGTATAGAATTATGACAGAGAGATCTCACTGTTCGAGTATCCAAGTCATTTAAAAAGCCAGGGGCTGACATGGACCATCCATATACATATATAATACTTTTTATGTATAACTTTTAATAAAGCATGAGAATATCAACAATATCACCAAAATGTGTCCATGGGTGTTATGAAAACCCATCATTACTGAGATAGGAAATCAAATGTCAATTCAAATAATTCTGCTACTTTACAAATTAGTAAACACTTGGTGGCAACTCTAATAAACCCTATATGACAACTTTTACCAGTACCGAGTTAAACACCTTTACCTTTATCATGAGACTTAGTCAAATACACTTTTCCTTAACCCTACATCACTGCTATTTGTGGAAGTAGCCAAAGCTGCCAATCCACTAAAGCATGTTCAATAAAATAAACCTTTTCTGCATCAGGAGCACATGTTGCTCTAAAAAAAAAAAAAACAAAAAAAAACCTTAGATCATATTTAAATTATTATGCACATTATGCTTGCTTAAAATGTATGCCACATGTACATTTAAGATGTTAACGATTAGTACACCTAACCATGACAATAAGCTAAGGACTCCACTGACCAACCTTGCTCCTGATATAAGTAATCAAGTTCAACAGTAAAACAAATCTGCAGCATAGACATTAAATGCATGTTTAACATAATGAAAGCAGCAATGGTGTGCAATAAATCAGAACAACCAACTGCACATCATCTTTCGTAAATCTGACCACACAAGAGAATGGTAAAGTACCATGAGTAGCTCTGTGTCAGTGCTATTGCATCAATTCTTAATACCAGGAGTGGACAAATAAACATGGAATTCAGGAGCCAGTCTGCTAAATTCAGGAGCCAGCAGGATTTTTTTTTTAGGAACCAGCTTTAAGAAAACTTGAGAAAACCTCAATAGTAAGTGGCCAGCTGTCATTTGTAAAGCCTGCTAAAAACAAAAAATAAAACAACTACCATAGCAGTTACCCACGCACTGCAAAGGTTAACTGCTCATTTTTGTCTAGGGTAGCTGTGAATCCCACAGGCTCCAAAACCCGAAGTCTCTAGTCGGAGGCCCTCTAATATCATCACATCTAGTGCAGGGCCCATATCCCTGCATTATATATAAGGATGCTGGGGAACAGTCTACAAGCCACAGCATATGTAAGAGAGGTGAGCACCCACTGCCGGGGGAGCAGGGATTGGGAAAGAAAAAGTCCTTTACACAGCTTCCCCAAACATAAGTAAGCAGCCTTGTAGTGGGTAGCCCTGGCACAAGGGTAGTTTTTCCCCCGCTGTAGATAGCCTTTAAGTAGCATTGCTACCTGGCTCATAGGATTTGTCCAGCCCTAGTTTAAACAAAGTGTATCACAAACTAAGGCCCAAGAGCCTCCTAGGTACTTGATGTGTGGCCCTCTGACCCCAACAGTCAGTGGTGTTAGCATTGATTTGTAAAGGGTCTACAATAGCAGTCTCTTCTAACATGTTCCCAGACTCTATGTCCTGCACCATTTCTCTAGTCTTCTACCCCACCAGTACCATGTCTGCAGTCTCTGATCATCTCCTATGGTATGTTCACACAGTTTTCTGTAGTATTGCATATAATGAACATTTGGTGAAGTCAGGGGCCCCAGCCAAAGCCCCCTTTAGCTCATCAGTTGACAACCACCATCATAGAGTATCAGTTTGTTTTCATTAGTAGAAGACTAGTTTGAAACCATGATGCTCATTACACACGACAATACAAAACACAGAAGTTATGTTTATAAATATATTAGAAAATTACATGGTTTCCTGCCCTAAAAAAAAAAAACCTTCTGCGGAACATGCCTTTCAAGTGTGTCCTGTGGTTTAGAGCTCTGGTGACCAACCTCCGGCCCTTTGGTACTTGTGCAGCCCTTTAGACCCTAACAGTCAGTAGCAGGAGCATTGATTTGTAAAGAAACTGCAATGGCAGTGACCTCTAGTAGTCTCTTGTAACATGTTCCCAGCCTCTGACCAAGTATTCCGTCTTCAACCCCACCTGTACAAATGTGTACAGTTTCTGACAATCGCCTGCGGTATGTCCACAGACAGTCTTCTGTAATACTAAATAAACTAAACATTATATGCAGCCCTTTGGTGATGTCAGGGGCCACAGTCGAAGCCCTCTATATCGCATCAGTTGACAAGCACTGTCAAAGAGCATCAGTTTGTTTTCATTAGTAGAAGACTAGTTTGAAAACATGGTGCTCATTACTCAAACACTGAATGTAAGTTTATAAATATATTTGATAATTACATGGTTTCCTGCCTTAAAAAGAAACTTCTGATGGGCATGCCTTTCAAGCATGTCCTGTGGTTTAGGGCGTTTTGCATGAGTGATGTCTAGCAGATGTTATTGGTCCTGTCAAAGCACCTGCACAGATGTACACACTGCAAACGAGTAGGTGACTGGTAAACCTCCTAAACGTCCTCAACAGGTAATCCAATTGTGCAGATGTCATGATCCAGCTGTCTGAGCCCGGGGATCAGTTGCTGCAAGAAGTTTGCAGTAAAAAGCATGCATCTTACCCAGGTAGAGGCGCAGATCCAGGAGGATCTGAGGGGGTCCCCCATTCAGCTGGTAGAAGAGGGAGCCCAGGCAGAAGAGCAGCAGGGTGGCCATGCAGAAGCCATAATCTCGTAAGGAGAAGCGGGGAGACAGCAAGGACAGCCAGACCTTCTTAGCAGTCCCGAGCTGGACATTGTTCTTGGGAACATGATTGCTGATGTGTTCATTATTACTGCTCTTCTTCATCATTCAGCCTCCTTACACAGCCCGGCAGGAAGAGCTCACCCATCCGCCTAGAGATGACAAGAGCTGCTTTCTGTCTCATTGGAGAAGTTGGACAAGAGTTTGTGTGAGGCTCTTGAAGTCAGGAGCTGGTCTCCTCCATTCCCCACATGAACACGAGTCTGGCTCTCTGTACGAATCCCTGTCTTCGGCTGCAGTTGGTTGTGCGCCGCTGCTGCTGCCTTCCCCGAGCCGTGCCTTGCGCCCG